AAGGGGGGATGGGGGGAAGGGGCGCGCAGGAGGCGAGGTCAGCCCTAGCGCCGGGACCGCAGAGAGCGGGCCAGCGGGGGATAGACCACCGCAAAACTCGACATCACGCTTCCGCTTTTTCACATTTTGCGCTCGACAGCAACCGCATGCGCGCAAGACCGCAGCACAAAACACAATTAAGGACCCGTTTTGCCCGCCTATATACTTTCAAAGCCATCAACGTATGCCCAGACATTACGCGCATTAAGTGCGGAATTCTTGTCGGCGAGAGCAAAAGAGCCAGAGGGACAGAGCGCGAAATTTTGGAATTGGTTTAACACAACGTTACAAAACTCGAGACTGCACAAACAGGCTGTCCAGCTCTGCACGCCATGCTGCTGGCTGGAGGCTGGACTCCGGTTACACAAAACGCCCCCCCCCCCCCGCCTTTTAGAGCCATTTACCCCACGTGCTTCCGATCATGCATTTTAACAGCCTCCTTAAAGCATGGCCAAAGAACCACCGCTTGCCGTCGACGCCGTTCCTCACAGCGAAACCGGCCGCACGACGCCTCGCCCCGCCCCGCCCAACCTCCCAAGGCGCCGCGCCGAGAGCACATTGCAATGAACGCTTCGACGCAACTTGATGAAAGGGGATGGCCGATAGGCGTTTGTGGCCTACCACCCACCGCTCTCTTGCTACCCCCCCCTCTCTCTCGCTCGCTCGGCTGCCGGCAGCTCTTCATAACGTGCGCACCTGAGCGGTGCACTCTCTCCATGCCTCTCCTCACCCCGTGCCGTGCTCTCCTCCTCCCCCTCCTCCCCTCTCTCCCCATCCGTTTGCCTCTCTCTTTTTCCACCCCTACACGTCTCTGTGCAGTCGTGCCCTGGCAGCCCTCCAGCAGCGGCCCTGGCTGGTCCCAATATCACTCTGTCAGTGACCGGGACTTTCCGCACGCCTGGAAATAATCTGTGCCCCCACCCCTCTCCCTCTCTCTCAACCCTACTCTCTCTCTCTCTCTCTCTCTTTCTCTCTCCCACACACACACAATCACGTTCACGTATAGAGTCTCTTCATTAAACGCCAGCGGCAGGAACAGCTTCCGCTCATTCTAAAGGCGCCAAAGCGAAAAAACCGTTTTACAATTTACTCCATTTTTTTTCCTTCTTTGAGTCCGCTGCCCGGCGCCATCTCCTGCGCGCGAAGTGGTGGCATACAGTTGCCACAGGCAGACTTCTGCTTACTCAATATCAGCGCAAACATAAAAACTGACATATTTTTGTTAGTTAGCAAGGGAAGTACTTTGAAAAGGGGTTTTGCACGACTGCATGTGCTTGTCAGTTGTCCACGTTAGATCGCCAAAAGGCAAGGGTAGTTCGAAGAAAGTCAGTCTGAAAAAAAAAAGGAAAAAATACACTGTGCAGGGGGCAGAAAAAAAAACCCGCATCATATCGTTTTGGTCGCGTCGTTGAAAGGATACGTTATGTATGCGCTCCACGGATATAAATATATATCGCCTGCCCCGCGAACGATAACGAATTGTCATCATTCCCGACTGATGCGTGTTGTATGAGATGTGTGCGTGTTTGTGTGTCTCTGTGTGTGTCCGGGGGGATCCGTATCAGACATTAGTGCCGCTCGTACGAGACCGCAGGGACAGGCGCAAGCCATCGGAGCGATTATTCATCCCGACACCTGCAGAGTTATTACCCCCCTCCCCTCCCTCTCTCTCTCTCTCTCTCTCTCTCTCTCTCTCTCTCTCTCTCTCTCTCTCCCGTCTCTCTTCCTCTCTCCCCTCCCCCTCTCCACGTTAGTTTCGCTCCAACTTTTGCAGAGCCCCACGACCACATTATTCGGTTAACGCCTCATCGCTGCTCGCCCCGACCCATCATCAAACAAAATGCGCGGCAACGTTTAAACCGCAACAACGCGTGCCGCACGTCATCCTAAAGCGCCAAAAAAATTGATGATGTCATTTTTTGCACCCTGTAAATTTACACGAGCATTTTGTTTCGTGACTGTACTGTGTGGACAATTTATGAACGTTGTTCGCGTCGACTTTAATTTTTGTACAGTACTTGCATATGTCAGGACAAAAATGTAGGAAGAAAAGAAAGAACTTTTACAGTCTCTGATACCGGTTTTAAGACTTTCTCAGTTAAAAGGAAAAACATCGCCCCCTTGAGAATATTAATTTCAATCAGCATGCCGTTTACGTTGTAACATTCTCGTTCATTCTCTCTCTCTTTTTCTGTCTCTCACTATCTCTCTTTCTCCTCGGGCGAAAGGCTCCCATTACTCGCATTCCCCCCCGGTGCACACAACAGGGATGAACGTTATTCGGGCGTATTTGGATGACGCGCGAGGGACACTCCATATACGAGAGAGAGAGAGAGAGAGAGAGAGAGAGAGAGAGAGAGAGAGAGAGAGATCTGAGGGGGTGGGTATGGGCGCTTGAAAACGGCCTTTTACGACGCTGTAAAAGGGAAGAGACTAGTGCGTTATTGTTATTTGCTTCGAGCGAAAGAAGAGGAGGACAAAAAAAGGAGAAAAATACAACGGTGCTGCTGCTGGGCGAAATGTCACCTCTCCCGGCCGTCAAATCGCCTCGCCTGCTGTCCTCTTTTATTCGGACTTTACGATGAGAGAGAGAGAGGGGCGAGCGTGGAGGGTAGTTATTCGCAAACGGCCCAGGCCACCTCCTCCCCCTCGGCCGTGCAGATGTGGCGACTGTCTCCGCAACGCCCTTTCACAACAAATATCTACGACTGTCTGCAATTACGAAAAAGTAGACGTATAAAAGTGTTCGTTGCATTCACAAAATCCACACATAGTTGGGATTGAATCATCCAAATCGGTACGATGTGGATGGTAAACCAATCAGGTCTGTACACGAGGAGCCACCAAGTAGGTGAGGTTTCCTGTTCACAATGAGAGAAACTCGGAAAGCTACAGAGTCATCTTCTCTTGAGCCTTTTAGATGAGTAACGATCAAAATTATTCTTGACTATGGAGTCCAGGGAAGCGAAAGTCGGCGAAAGTCTCCAAAAATTCAGTAATATGAAGTGGATGGAGAACAAAAATTAGAGTATCAATTGTAGCCAAAGGCACTTTCAAGAGCGATGGAAACCCTCACTTATGCCTATGAATTGTTAACGCGTTTTTTCGCAATAATGAGCTATAAAATTATTATTCGTTTCCCAATGATCATCGTCAGTCACACTTTCCACCTGAGCTACCTTGCTCCTTTCTAAAGTTGATGCAGCAAGCCTTAGGCTTCTCACCTCAATTAGCGTCTACAAAAGGGAGAGGCATTGAAAGGGATGTGGGGGGGGGGGGGCAGTTCCAAGAAGTGGTAAAGGAAGGAATATAACGAGGGGCTGATGCAACAACCAGGCACAAGGATTATGCAGGATTCCTGCGAAAGAAGCTGTTGTGTGCTTTGGCAAGAAGCACCGCGGTGCGGCGAGCGAGAAAAGGCAGGGTGCTGGTCGGTTCAAGCGGGAATAAGATCGACGGAGGGTTGGAGGGGGAGAGAGAGAGGGAGAGAGAGAGAGAGAGAGAGAGAGAGAGAGAGAGAGAGAGAGAGAGACGGGGGAGAGAGTCGTGATGCTGCTCTATGCCGAGGCCCGCGGCTGTCAGCTTAGCGCCGCCTAAGACCACGCACCGGCCGCCCCGCAGACGGCGCAGGCGACTCCCGGAAGCTTCCGTCCCCACGCCCCAGTCAGGCAACGGGATATGAAGTATGCGGTCGCAGCGCTGAAGCTGAAAAGGACATCCTGGTCAAAACTGTTCGAGCAGACAGGAAAGGGAAAGCTGCCCTTCATGGGTTGGGAACGGAAGAGGCTCCTACTTGAAAGAATGTATGACAAGAAAGTTGCTCGTCCCTCTAACTCTCTCGCACCCTAAATCTTTCCATAGG